GGGCCCATTATATGCTACAAAGGGTGGCACGTCCCACCTAGGTGGCTTTCAATTTTGTTGGTCAAGCTCTAAAACTTGAGAGAAAATAAAGTGTTGTTTTAAGATAGTTTAAGCCTTGAAAAAATTTTGAATAAAATTTTAGTATGTGTGAGAAGGTTTAAGCATAAAATAAGAAAGGAAAATATTATCATAAATTATTTTTTATTTGAATTAATTGATGAGAAAATAGTTTAGGAAGTGGAGAATAATGGTTCTAGCACATTCCATATGATGTTGATGGCCCATCTATAGAATGGACAGTGCATATCTCGCACCGCACAAGTCACCTCAAGATCAATTATGCATATTTAATCTCACATGGGAGGCAAACCAAGAAAAAACCTAAAAAACCCTAAATCTATTCAGACACTATAAAAAAGAGGAGGTGGGGTGTACCATGTCTCTCTCTCTCTCTTGAAATCAAAGGGGCATATCCCACTCTATCTCTCTCATGGTGGTTGTCTCATCTCTTCCATCTCCCATCTCACAATGGGGTTAGGTATTTAGGGTTTAATAGAAAAAGAAGCTATCTCTGAACTAGGTTATCAAAGGGGTTCACTTATAGTTGAGTTTTGTGATTGAAAGGGTGTTCATGTTCCATTAGTGTGGCTTATCTAAAACTTGCTTTCTGGATTGAGATTGAAGGTTGACCATTAGATCATGTGCCATCAGAAGGTAGTGACTCGGTATGGAATGTAAAAAGCCCGGTTGAAATAATATTCGACACCCTCTTTTGTTTTTTGTTTTTTGTTTATTTACTTATTGTCTTCTTTATTCCCAAACATAGGTTGTGTCTTTTCTTTGTTAATAAAAAGAGGTTTTGAATGGCTTCAAGTTCTTGAGATCTTATTGTATTCTTGTATTTTATTTGAAGCTATTTTATTGTAAAATGACTACTTGTAAGTGATCTAGGCCGTGAAGAAAAGAAAAAAAGTATATTATATACTCCGGGTAGATCACACGAGTCTTTCTTTCAGTATAAGTCTGGGAAAGAGTCCAAAATCCTTACTTTGGATATGTGGCACAATCAGAGAGGATTCTATTGTAGCGCCATCCCTCGTTTAGATCAGAGCGATGGCCATGGATATTTTTGGAGCCAGGACGTTGGTGGTCTCTTAAGTGATGTTGGACGCTTGCGAGGGCAATACCAAAATTTGAACGACCACCGCATGGCATGCATACATATAGCAGTATTTTGGGAAGTTCCGTAGGAAGGGTACATGCACATGTGCTGAAGAGAGCACCCCTGTACTATTACAATACTATGTGTTCATCCTGATGGATATAACTTTTTTGTGGGGAAACTTGTAATCTACATACTAGGTTCGAGTCATTACATTTATTGGTCAACGTTTTTATAGATCAATCATGAGCCCATGCGATTAACTATGGGTCATGAGTTCTGTTGGGTTAATTTGAAACGAGTTTGGCGCCCACAAAACATCTTCATTAATCCAGTAAAAAACAACTAGAATCATACCCAAAGGTTGTTTCTAACAAATTGAAAACCCTAAGAAAAGTGCCCAGGAAAATTAGACCAATAGGGGACCGTAACTGTTCAATAGCACATAATGTACTACTAGGTGGCTAAGATTTGCAGCGCACAGTGCGCCACTAAACCGTCTCAGTGGTGCACAATGCACTGCTGAATAGTTATCGGCATTCGGTTGTTTTAAGCCACCTTGTTCGATTCTTTAAAAAAACAAAAAGATATGAAATATATTCTTCAATTTCCATTTTTTGTCGTATCTACTTTTATCTTTTATTTATTTATTTATTTATTTTTATTTTTATTTTTATTTTTATTTTTTTGTGCGCTTATCCAATTGTGTGTTTGTCACCATCTTGCACACATCCGCGATAGTGCAACTTTCCACACTTTACACGCCAAATAAAAAAGGCGGAGTTTGAGACAAAGAGAAAAGATAGAGAGTGAGGCAGCAAGGATACGAGAGCAAAGGGGGAGAGGCTTTGCAGTAGAAGGGAAGAGGACAGGGAAGGGGAGAGGACATGGGATAGTTATAGAGAGAGAGGCATTAAAGAGACGAGGGGAAAGGGGGGAGAGAGAGATGCAGCAAAAGGGAAGAGGAAATATGGTATTTAGTGAGAGAAGCATTGAGGAGTTATATGTTAGAACTTTTGAGGGGAAGAGATAAACTTGCTAAAGTTCCAAAAATTGAAGGCAATGTCGTAACAATTGCAGAGATCAAGTTTTACCATAATAATTGAGAACTCTCTGTTTTCACTGAACTTTAGTTATATATGGATGGGAAGAGACCGTTCTCTAACATTCGGCTTTTCTTATGGAATCTGTAGGAATGTGACATTCATTTTTTGAGAGATAGGTAGTTATCTTCCACCCGTTTGATAAAAATATTTTCTCGCTCTAAAAAACCTTTTAGTGACATATATTAAAATGTATTAATTAAGATAAATACTGATTAAATTAAGAGAAAAACATATGACATATGTAAGGCCCCATGACCACCCACACATATCAACACTATGAAAGAGGGGAGGAGAGAGAAAGAGAGGCATCAAGATGGAAAGAGGAAAGAGAGTTGTAATAGGAGGGAAGGAAAGGGGACAGTTAAAGAGAGAGAGAATACTTGGGCTGGGAGAGGCCTATAGAGGTGAGAGGCAATAGGGGTGGCAACGGCTCGAGTATGGGTCGGGTCCGGCTGGACCCGGATTTAGACCTAAATGGTATTCGGGTCCAGGTTTTGGATCCGGATCCAACCTATTGGGTTCAAAAGTTGGACCCACACCCATACTTGTCAGGTCTCAGATCTAGTCGGGTCAATTTCGCAATATTCAATTATAAGCAAGGGATATACGTCGGTACATACCCATTCTTTTCTTTCAATCTTTTTCTTTGGATGAAATACCCAAAGATCACACATCATGCATGGAATAATTAAATCTCTTTCTCTCGCAGAGAAATATTTATTCCAATGATGCAAAAACTTGATTTTTGTTTTTTACTCTCTTTTTACCATCATATATCCACATTGGCAAACAATGTCACAATTACCCGCTATTAGATTTCAAGCGGTCTGATTTGTTGTTTAATAGTTAAAGATGACTATGAATTCTTATTGTATATGATCTTTAATAGATACTAACGAATAAGGCTTGAAGTATTTCATCTCCAATAGTTTATGGGTATGGGTTGGGTCCAACCAGACCCGAATAGTGTTTGGGTCCAAATTTTGGACCTGGACCCCACTCGTCGGATCCAAATATTGGACCCATACCTGACCTGTGTCGGGTATACCCCCCCGATCCCGGGCGGGTCCGTGTCCGGGTCCATTGCCACCCCTAAGAGGCTATGGCAAGATAATGTAAGAGTGGCAGTCCAAGGGGGTGTTTTGTGAGAATAAGGCTTCAAACCCTTTTCTTAAGTGGACCTCAACACAATTTAGGTGGAATTGAAATAAAAGGCCCGCTCTCTATTTCCAAGAGTCACCAATTCCACCTATTTGGGTGGAAGACACACCTCCATGTTTTGGCCCTTAAAACGTGGAGATGGCCATCCATGGAAGTTGCATATTTAGGTCCCTTTTGTGATCCAAATTGAGGAGATTGACCATCTCTATGGAAGTGCATCTCCTAGAGAGCATGCTTGGTATCAAAAACTCATGTCGAGGGCAAAAAAATAGACTTATCACCATAACTGCTATGAAGATCGTTGAAGCCAAAAGATTTATATTTCTTATTCAAATTTGAATAATAAAAATATTAATTAAATTTTTTTTTTGGATAATTCAGTGGGGAAGATTGGCCCGTTTTTTAATAGATTGGAGAGTTAAATTTGTTTTCTCTTTGATTTTGTTCTCATCAGTGTTTTTCCAAAACTTACATTTGATTTCTTTAAAAAATCAAAAGCAATCATATTATGCTTCTCCTACCTGCTGATTCTCAAAATGTTTCACCGCCTAAATGGCATATAGAATCACATGTATATACTTTTGGTGAGACGCTCCCTTCTCTAAGTTCATACACTTAAAGGAAAAAGTTTATATAAGGGCGTGGCCCTAAACAACTAAATTAAGGTGCACCTTAAAAATCTACTAGAAAATGTTATTTTGATGCTAAACAATCCTCAAATCCATCATCTCAATCTCAAGATGTACGGATATGAGACAAAAAGGGATTTCAAGTCTTGGAAATAGTCCATCTTATAATATGTATTTGGGCTGTCAATTTTCAAGATTTTTCAAGTGTTCATAGATCTGCCTTGATCTTAACTATTTTTTAAGATTTAAATTTTATAATTAGATATGCAAATAAAGTTGCAAGCTATCACGAAGATTTCTAGTACCAAAAAACATATTCCGACACTATTTAAAGATGTGCCTTACTTTAATTGTTTAGGATCTCAGCCGATGCAAATTACGCCCATACTCAAGAAGTTTTCTTTTCATATCATGTCTTCTCAAAAGTTTACTTTTATTTTGACCATATGGATCCCCTTGCAAATGTGCTTGTAAATATTCAAACTTATCAAGAATGGGGTTGGGGTCTTGCAAATATGTTTGTAAATATTCAAACTTATCAGGAATGGGGTTAGGGTTGTGGTGGTAGCACTACTTGTGCCCTAGGTAGGGTCTAAGCTTCTATTCTCACCTAACACATTAAAAAACCATTAATGATTTAAAAAACGGATAAGGGCACGTCATCCCCAAAAGTATTCAAACCTGTTGCTTATCCTTTGCACTATGCTTCACTCTCTTTTATCATACGGGGATCTTATATTATAAGACCATTTACAATTATAAGGAGATCATAATCACTCCTTGTCCTTAGATGTCAAATTGGATGGCTTGGTGTATATATAATTTTTTTTTTTAGACTTTGAGTCTAGTAAATGACTTACAACTATTCAATTTAAAATGTAATAGATAAAATTGATTGTGACCACTTTATATTGAAAGTAAATAGCCTATTTGTCTATTTTCTTCTTATTATAAAATGATGCTTATATCCGTCACAACAGAATGGGTTCTTTAAAAAATATATTTGAGTTTAAAAAAAGATTTGAGTGCTCCTTTGCGTCAATGGTTCACTTGCTCTTGTAGGTAAAACCTCATCAGCTTAAGGGATTGTTTGACCCCATGACTTTCATAGCATCTTTATTCATATCAGTGATAAATCTAAAAAACAAAAATCAATTTCGTCCGTAGATAATCTGAATCAATGTTTGCTCGAGAAATTGCTTAATGAAGGTGGCATCAATTGCTACAGTGATGATAACCTCGCAAAAACCAGGCTAGGAGGGTTCATAGGACCTCGAGTTTTACAAACATGTCTTAATTTACGTTGTGATCAACTTCTAAATTAAATTTTGAGCACTTAAATCATTAGATCTTGTTGTCTATTTGTTGGACAATTTTGAGTTATATTTATTCAGAGTGATAGCCGCCATCCAACAAATGGATGGTCTTTGGGGTGGTATGTTAAAATGGTGGAAATTGATGGCTTGGACCGTAGAAAATTAGGTAAATCTTACTGTATATCCCCACCGATAAATATTTTATCTACATCCTTCATCTTTTATCTAATTTGAATGGATGGTTGGCATAGCTTTAGCCATAACGTCACGAGTGAGCTACTAACCGTTTGATATAGATATAACATCTCAAAGTATTTTATTTTGATTTTTTTTTTCTTTAGACCATACAAACATGAAATTTGACTAGTCTCAGCATCTCAATGTGATACACCTTAAAG